CCAGCATCACTTTGACGTTGCTGCGCACTTGGCGGGCCTTCTTTGGTCTTGGTGACGTGGAATGCTTCCACTGTGACGACTGGGATTTGGTTTCCGGGTCGTACCCGTACACCCAAGACTCGTCACCAGTGATTATGGTGTTCATGAAGTCGGGGTCACTGTTTGTGGAGTCCAGCATGTCCTGTGAGACTTCAACACGAAGTTCCTTTTGCTCCGCCGTAAGCAGCTTCGGCATGAATTTCGCCGCCACTCTTTTCATAGCCAAATCTTCGGTCATAATGGAATGTGCCGAAAAAGTGCTGATGCCCACCTCTTCCCCAATTTCTCGGATAGTCACACGATGGTCCCGCATCACCATAGCGTTCACTTTGGCAATGACCTGGTCATTTCGGCATGCTGATGGCCGACCGTAGCGTGGCTCGCTCTCCACCGTTGTGCGGCCGTCTTTAAACCGGTTGTACCACTCCTTAATCTGTGTGATGCCCATAGCATTGTCACCGAAAGCCGTCTGAATCTTCCGAATGGTTTCCACCTGGCTGTTGCCCAGTTTCTGGCAAAATTTGATGCAGTAGCGCTGCTCCAGTCGTTCTGTCATTTTCCTTGCAATGAAAAACTGACGAGAGCACTACACACTACCTCACTCAATGGCTGCTTGCTAACAACTGACGCAATCAACAAACGGGAAAAAATTCACGCATGTGCACGAAGGTTCAAGGTCGGCTCATGCAAGCGCGCTTCATTCAAATCCATCAGGTTATCGCAAAAAAAAATAAGGTCGGATACTTTTCTCACAGGCCTCATAGAGAGCAAAATGGTACATTGCATAGAAATTTGATAATAGTTTAATTTGCAGTGTCTTGTAGAAACATGCATAAATTGAAGTTAAGTTTGCTTATATAAAAATGTAAAAGTAATTAAAACAGCTATAAGATATAGGGAGAATGTGGTAAGCATTTTATCTTAAAGAACTATCTTAATTATTTTTCCATTTTTAGTTATTACACTGTTTTAGCTTACTTGTGTTGATAATGCCATTTAAAATTAAATTATATTTTCAGGAACTATCAACATCTGTTTGATGGGTGACCCTGGTGTTGCTAAGTCTCAGTTGCTATCATACATTGACAGGCTTGCTCCTCGAAGTAAGATTTTAGAAATACTCCAAGTGTTGGTGCAAACAATTTATGTTGTGAAAACTTAACAGATAACTGAAGAAGTTTTAATCAGATGGTAGTTTATTTTTATCTTACTCTTCCTCAATAGTTATACACTGAATTTAATAGACTATTCAAACTAATATATGGCATTATTTGAGGTTAAGTAGCTTAGGCTGAGTTTGATGTGAACTTTGATTTTAACTTGCATGAAAAGCAGTGTTATTAGCTTCATCAGGGTTAGTTTAAATATTATATCACTGTTCAGTGTGGATTTTTCTTTGTGATGAAGGGTCTTTCCAAGGAAGGTTCTTCTTTGTGCAATGTACTTCTGGGATCCAAACATCCACCCACATGTAGGGGTGGAGAGACTCCTGACAGATGGGTGCTACCTGAGCTGGGTATAATGCCAGGTTTAACTTTGGCTTTGAATTCCTATAAGCAGGGGACTATGAAGTGCCATCTTAGGTTCAATTGAACACTTTCATTGGACCCTCCCTGTCTGTTGTTATATGTTTGGATATGGTAACTGTGTCTGCAAAATCCTGAAGTCACATTTACTTGTTAGACTCCATTGTGGAGAATTCACTGAGCACCAAATTTTACTGAATTGCCACGTGTTTTTTTTTACCTTTAAAACCACTGAGTGTGTAACTAACTGCCTGTGCCTTTCTGTGTTTTCAAAATTATGACATAAAGTCCATGACAAATGAATGCTGCCAAAAATGCATTAATAAGGAGAACTATGACATCTCCATGGTATGTTTTGAAGGTATTCATCCACTTAACACACGAGCAGGGTACAAGGCAAAGGGTCCTTACCAAGGTAAACAAAAAACAAAAAAAACTTACATTAGGTTTTGTAATGATTGAATATATTTGGTGAAAATATGAAAATTAGAGGAAGCTTTCCAAGTTAAACCTCAGGCACCAGCTTTACCATGTTCCATCTGTATAAAATTCAACTTCTCCAGCAAGTCACAATCAAAACAAAGCTTGTATTGATTAATGTTAGAAAAATGTGGTGAAATAGCCCTAACAGTTCTATTCTTCAAATAACATAAAATTAAACTTCTTATTTTTGTTTGCTTTCTAAAATATGTAAACCTAATGTAAATTTAAAATAATGTACTTCACTGATACTAAAACACTAAATAATCTAACTTACAATTCACTGACACTACACAAGGTTTTGACTAGTTCTGTCTTTAAATCACAATTTGATGAAATCAAATGTTTTATTAATTAAACTAATAAAGTGTAAAAGCTAGTAGCCAGAGAATTGTCAACCTTTTTGGTAAATAGTTTGTATCTCAAAGAAGGGCAATACTTTTCAGAATCACTCGGAAATGTCTGGTTAGATAGGCCTACAGATTAAAATTTTCTTTATGGCCATCTTTTTCTGCTAATGTCATGAGGTTTTAGTGAGTTACATTCAAAATGTAGTTAAACTTCTTTCTTATCATGGTAAAAAAATAAATCTTAATATTATGTAAGTTGTAAGTTTTTAATTTTATAAAACAATTTTTAAAAATTCCTGAATTCCCCTAGAATAAGAATTATGACATTTGCTCTCTAGGTATCCCTCTCTTCTATAATTTATTTACCACCTCTCCATGAAGTATAAAGTTTAATGTAATTTACTCATCATAATCTTGTCATTGCTCAGGCAAAGCATCATTTTTAGTTTTTAATTTTATTTGGTTACAGAGCCATAAAATGGAAAATCAGACCCCCTCTTGTTATGCCTACTTGTCACATCCTCTCTTTCAGAAATTGCCAATAGTTATCTTTGATGTTTAATACTATATTATTTATAAACAACAGAAAGCCATGGTTTTAATCTATCAAATGACATATTATATTACATTGTTATTTACAACTTTTGTGGTGAGAATATTAGTTAGACATTGTTTAAAGGGCAATAAAATTTAAATATAAGCAGATGTATACTGTTACAAGTTTAACCTTTTCAGTATGGACAGATGTGATTACCATCTGCTCGATTAGAGAAGAACATTTATACAACAAAAATACAGTAACTGTGTGTTCCTCACAAAAACTGGTAAGATCTTGTTAAAGTTTATTAGTATCTTGTACACAAAGAATGACATGAAATATTGTAGGTATTTGCACTCAAATTGAATAGTTCAAGTGCAAGGTGATTTTCATTTTAAGTATAAAAATACTTTTCTTCATCTAAACGTTTCATATTTCATTTCATAATCTCTAAAACCTCCTAAATGTATATCAAAAGTTTTTTCAAGGTAAATGTATATATATTCATTTTCTCTACCATATCACTAACTCTAGCTATTATCATCAAGTACAATGTAATGAAATGATTAAAACAATAAAATAGAACAAAAGTACACACCTTTAAATTTTTTGTAGAATATCTTTAAAGATTTTGCTTTTATTAAATTCGTAATTTCGGGTCTCTTCCTTTTCACATATAATTAATTTTTAATGTTTTCTTTTCTTGTCCTTTACCACTTATTATTCATCTCGACACAAGTCATCGGTGCCCTCGAGACATGTGCAGCCCCTTGGGCAAAATTTTCATTCAGTGCACACTAACGTAAGCCTTGAGAGTGGGTGCAAAATATAATGTATATTTATAAATGTTTAACTCTCTTAAGTATGCATTTTAAAACATAATTAACTAAAATATAATAGCAAGACCTAAATACAATTGAAACTGTATCTCTAACTATAACATGTTTATGTATGAAACAACCGATCAGGCTGCTAACAATACCACAGTCAGTTTCATATACTCCATGATGACAACTTGGTGCTAATTTTAAAATAACCATAGTTAGATTATAGCTTAAAATGAGTATACACATAGGTATGTAGCATCTACATGTCAGCTATAAAGCTCAAACAAATCTATTGAAGGTGGGCGTGGCACTTGTTAAGGGCTGGAAAAATTTATTACTTGTGTTAACTGTATTCATTCAGAGAACTTTGAAATATGTGAGTCAAAAGGTTATGTAAGTATCTTATTTTCTAGATGTACCTTTACATAACTACCATTGTATTATTGAAGATGCAGAAAACCAAAGTCGAGAATTTTCATAGCTCGTTGATCACGTGACAATACATCTGAAGTTTTAAGTAGTTTTTAAAGGTTTATTTTGATATAAAGGATTTATAACTTAGATAAAATAACAAGATCAGTCAAATTGACCAACTTAGTATAGAGGTAAGGTAGATAAAGTATAAAGTTTTATTGAAAAAAACATTTGATATTTATTTAGGAGGTTTTAGAGATCACACAAATGTTTAGTGGAATTCCTTCTCATCTATCAGTGAATGTAATTATACTTGACAATACCTGCTCTATTTCCTCAAAAGTGAATCACCTAAGTACCAACATTGCAAAAAAATGAATTTTAGTTATCAGCTTAAGTCATTACACTGCATTAATATATTTGTATTTATTTTGTCAGTCTATGTGTACTTTTGTTTTGTTTACGGACAAGATATAGCTCGCTAATTACCCCGAACAATTCACTTGAATAAACAATTGGTTTGATTTACTGCCATGCAAGTAAAAGAGACAAACTTGTCCCAATAAACATAAAACTTAAGGTCATATTGGATATTTTTGAAAGCAGAAGGTTGAAGTGTTGTAGTGAATTTTGTGTACCCATGCAGAATGGTATGATGTCATGGCCAAAGATAAATAGAAGAATTTTGCTAGCTAGCTGGAAATTACTAAAATGGTTTTATTGATGTATATTAACTCAAACGTACTTGAACAAGAGTAGTTTAGTTAACTACTCTGCAACTACAAGGTGAACTAAAAAAAAAAAGACGCTCACATTTGATTAGCTGAGGTCTGCAGTTACAAACTATATAATCAGTCTAGCTTTATCATTAATGATCTGTCATGTCTAAGGCTTTGTTTATCCACAAACAGTTGTTTTCTGTCATGCTGAAAGAGAAAGTAGCAAGTCTTACTTCCTAAGCTAGAAATAACTCAAATGGTTTTATCCAGTATGATTCATTACATATGGTTCTTAGTGAACTGAGTTTATCTCATGTAGTAAGTTACGTGGTGATAAATACATAATTTAACTACATTTTCTAATGTAGATTAAAGTATAATCTAAAATTTAAATTTAGTACTATTGTGATGTGTTATGAGTGATGTATCTTGTTTCATTCCATTTTATAATGGATTAGTTTAATAACCATAATTGTATTTTGTTCTAAATTATATGTGATGATCGTCGTTGTATTTTATACTGGGGTTTTATGGGTTAGCTTGATGATAATACTTGTATTTCTGTCCCAGGCTGTTAACTATAATGATTATTTCTGCATTTCATTCCAAGTAGTAAGAGTTATGAATTAATGAATACACTTCATTATTATCCAGGTTGTAAGAAGTTAATTTAAAAATTATACTTTTATTTTGTCCTATGTTTAGAGATGTTAGTTTAGTAATTAAACTTGTGTTCTTAGGTTTTGATGTTATAAAATGATACTCTGTTAAAAAAAAATTAAACTCCAACCATCTTGCATATCAACTGATAACCTGGTAATTATTTAAGGCCAATATACCACGGGGCGTGGGTCATCAGGTGTTGGGCTCACAGCTGCAGTCATGAAGGATCCTCTCACAGGAGAAATGACCCTAGAAGGAGGGGCACTGGTTTTGGCTGATCAGGGTATATGCTGTATTGATGAGTTTGATAAAATGTTAGACGCAGACAGAACTGCTATTCATGAAGTCATGGAGCAACAGACAATATCTATTGCTAAGGTTAGTGCAGTGAATGATAAAGTTTCAGTTATATCAATTTAATTTAATAATAGGTTCTGATGTTTAAAAAGACAGAGAAATCTAGTTCGTAAATGAAAACACACAGAACATGAACTGCAAAAGTCACGACTCAAGACCTTGGTTTCTAGGGTATTAAACTCCAGTTTTAGGGTTTTTTCAAAATCGTTGTTGCATTGATCCCTGCTTTAGCTCTTACTGCATGTCCAAATACATTGTTTTGAACTTGTATTACTTAATGTTTGATGAAAATTTAATGAAAAGAGGTAATTTGAAACAATACTACACCTCTTCACACAGTGAAGCTATCTCCTCTGTGATTCTGCCTTAAAGCTATGTATGCTACTGGCTTTAGTGAACTTCCACTTGATGTCACAAGGTTTTCCTGTGAATTGTGCTACTGCATAATGATGTCATTATGCATGAAAGCTCTCCACCAAGAGAAGGGTGACACATCTCCTTGTGCACAAACTTCCTCTGTGCATTTTGCCTTTCTTGATACTGCATGGTGTTTTTTCCTTTTTAGTTCTCTCCTCTTTGTTCTGTTCCTTTCTTCTCCATAAACCCCCACCCACCCTTGCCCTGCTCCTATGCCTGACTAGGACCTTAATGTCGTTCTGTTTGCTTTTACCCATGAAGCTTTTGAGCTGTTGACAACTTGCACCTTATTCCACCTTTCTCTCAAGATCTATTTTCTCTTGCCTGTGGTCACAGTTTTTGAGATATTTATGCTATCAAAACTTCTCATACCTTCATACATTGCCCTTATATACTTTTTTATCCTGACCAATCCTTCTTCCCAAAGACTTCAGCTGCTCAGGAAGGTGACTGATCTTTCTTTCTTCTATTTCCCTTCTTTCAATCTTTCCCTCTTATAATCGATCAGACCCAGACAAACAGTTGTGCCCTGTTTGTACCATTTGTTACATTTTATCTCGTATCTCACACTTTCGAGGCTCCCATCACCAGCTTTTCATCCCATGGAATTCTTCTTCCTCCAGGGATATTTCTCCTAATACCCTTACAGATAAGGTCCAACTAATTCTACAATTCTCTTCATTGGAGATTGATGCTCGTAGACTGTTCAACAGTCTTCCCATCAAATTCGTCACCTTTCTCATTCTCTCATTGCTCATTTCCAACAGCTGCTGGATGATTCCCCTTAGGCGGGTATGTGGACTATTCTTTACACCTTCATCACCCACTATCTTTACCACCTGGCTGTCTTGTCTCCCAAAGATTACTGCTTGTCTCTGCCATTTTTCACTGTCTCTAGATTAGTGAGTACCTTTTGTTTTTTTTATAGCATTTGCTTACAGGATCCTGCCAGGTGGTTGGTTGTGCCTTCCAGGGTATACTTATTTCCCAAAATTCTGCATCGAGCCAGGATAATGTAAAGCACTCGTGTCAACCGCCGTGGCTCCATATATGCCCACTGTTTTATGGGATGTTCTGCAACTCCACTTGAGGTATACTCATGGTATATTTTATATTTCACTACTGCCGATCCAGGCTATACCTATCATGGAAAAGGCCAGCACCAGGAGGTGTTTTGCCTGCTTCTTTGGTTTGTGCTTGCTGGTTTTTCAAATAGAGATATGTGGTTTCTTATTGCATTGTATTCAGTATAATACCTTTACAGCTGAAGGACCAATTGGGATCTGGACATTTTCTTCTGGTCTCCACACTGAACATTTCCCCCACCTTTTCTCTTCAAGTAGAGCATGGGAGACCCTTGTCACTTTCCAGTTCCTAGCCACTGGGGTGGTGGACCATGGAGAATTCTCACCAACTGGGACCTAACTGCTGGGGATAGAACTACATTGTCAGTGTAATGCAGGTTACCACTCATATAACTGTACTTATAACATGCCACTTATGCTCTCTTCCTGCAGTCTGAGTCTGTACAATTGAGGTGAGGTGAGCACACACTATAATGATGTGCCCTCCTTCTGCAGCTGAGTCTGTTCAGTAGAGTTGAGGCAAGCACATTACACAATAGGTGCCCTCCTCCTGCAGTTGTGTATGTCCATCAGAGTTGAGGTGAGCACATGTGTACACATGTGCCTTCCTTCTGTGAACATCACTTGTTCAGATGAGTTGAGGCAAGTTCACACAGTATTAATCTCTATGGCATGACTGTTGTGACCTCCTCCTGCAGCTGGTGCTGGTCCAATAAGGTCTGGTGGCAGAGATGTGGTGGGCACAAGGTATGGTCTGAATGCACACAAACCTACTACATATATTGGTTTTCCACTACTTTGATGGCCATGTTCTTATTCTGCCCATCCCTGTGACATGGGGCTTGTTTGCTTCTTCCTACCTTATTCCTGGGTGAAGAGTATACTCTGGAAGAGATGAGGTGCAATCTCTCATGGGTGTGCCCATATGGAGCCCCTGCCATTGGATTTCACACTCCATAAGCATTCTGAAAGAATCTCCTATAGGTAAATCTTTGCATCAGCCCCTCCACCTCTTCAAAATGGGATTCCAACTTAACTGTGTGGTATTGTCTTGGAAGTTAGCATTTTCCTTACCTGAAAATGTTTCCGATCGATACTCACTTCTTCATACACATTCCCATTCATCCTCCCCACTTCCAGTGCACATTTCTTACTTAACTTGTCATAGTATGAAGATTGACAGGTGCAAATACATAGAGGGAGTTAGTGTGCAATAAAATGTCATCTTCCTGTTGGTTGAGTGCTTTTGATGCATAATGACATCATTATGCAGAAGCATAATTCGTGAGAAAATCTTGTGAGATTAGATGGGAGTTCACTAGAGGTTAATGACATGGAAATCTCTAAGGCAGAAGTGTGGGGGGAGCTTAACTGTGTTCACAGGTATCTATCAGAAATAACATTTTCAAGTAAGAGAATTTGTTAACTTTGTAACTTTCATGTGCTTCCATAATAAATGTTTGTAATTAGCAAATCTTGAAGTCCAAACAGTTTTTATTCATCAAATTGAAACAAACATACAAAGTAGAACTGATATTTTAGCAACTAAGAAAAAATTGATATGGTTTCTCTAAACAATGATTCAAAAAATTTGAAAGATAGGTTGCTGTATTCTGTATGAAGTTGGGTTCTTCTACCATGTCAATAAACTGTTCATTGTTTGTATGAGGAGAACAAATGATCAGAATATAATACTCAGTTGTTGTTATGCTTCATTATATTAATAATACTCATCTTCTTATGATATACATGCACCATTGATTCTTGTGACAAGTTGTAGAGCTCCAGCCATTGCAGTTGTTAGCTAATACACTATACGAAGCAAATGAATAATGATTGAAATTACTAATATTTTGATTACAACAAAATGAAACTATAATGATGATGCTCAGGTTATTGTTATGCAAGTAAGGCATGTTGTAATCAGTTACATAATTTGAAATGTGATTAGTCATTTAGCCTTTGACCTGTATAGCGGTCTCATATTGTGTTGTCTCAGTTGTCACTTTAAAGTGAACCATAAAGTTTAAAGTGCCTAATGTGTTTATGAACCAGGGTTAGACCTCAAAGAAGATGTTTGAATTCTTCTCTTGTGTAGAGAACCATCAGAACAATGTAAGACAAGCTGGTGTGCAACTACTTCCAAGCCAATGGTACAGCTGCTCAGAAACTTGGCAAATCATCATCCACAACACAAGCAGGAAACTATCTACAGACTTTAAAAGGCCATTTATATACCAGACACCAAATGAGATGCGTTCTCTCTCTCACAAGGGCACAAAACAATTTGTCTGCAGCCATCCTAAGGACACATCCAGTGGACTAATGACACCTGAAGCAATAATATTTTCACAAACAAGTTGTACTACACCATTCAGCTGTATAACAGGTGTATACCAGTTTGGAAGGAATTTAACACAAGACTAATCCTCACTGCTAAACAGGAACATGGTACAAGTGGTAGTAGTGAAAATAATGGAAAAGTAGTACTGCCAAAATCATCTTATGTACGTACAACACAAGAACAATCACAGCTGAAGATGACTTAAGATGACTGACCGAGGAGCTAAGAAACATCTCTTGGTACATTGTCTGACAGAGAAAAACAAAACCCAAAGGAGAAGGACTCAGTGAACTAATGGGGGGCATATGGATCTCTGAGGTCTAAAAAACAGAAGAGAACACAAATGTAAAAGATATAGCATTCATAATACATCCAAGATTAAATGACTACATTGAAAAGTTTGAAACACACTCAGACAGTTATATCCTGCAAACTGAAACTTCAGGGAGATGCATCTATCTAAATAATACAGGTGTATGGACCGACTCAAGACCATGATGATGAAGAGATAGATTAATTCTATGAGAAAATAGAAAATGCCATTGAAAAAGACAAGTGTAAATACCACATAATTATGGGAGACTTCAGTCTGAAGATTGGAATAAAAAATAAGAATGAAAATACCAGATGTATGGGACCTTTTGGAATCAAATAGAGAAATGAAAGAGACAAAAGGCTAATACAATTTGCAGAAGCCAACAGTCTGATTATAGCAAGCACCTATTTTGAAAAAGACAAGAATAGATATTGGACATGGGAGTCACCTGATGGAAACAAAGAACCAAATAGACTTTTTACTAACCTCTGCAAGGAACATCATTGAGAAGTGCGAGGTCATAAAAGTGGACTTTGGGAGTGACCACAGAATGGTGAGAGGGAAATTGAAACTGGACAAGAGACTTGTACGTCTAAAGATAATCCAGAGAAACATATACAAATGATATAGAGATACAAGGAGACATTCCAGCTATAGCTGAAATAGATTTGAAGCTGTTAGTGAGGAACAGCTAATGCCAGAAACTGTCTACAATTTTACAGGAAGAAATAAGGGCAGTATAAGACATGGCAGCAAAGTCCAGGGAACACAGGTCAGGTGCAGACAAGGACATTGAAGAACTATATATTAAAAGAAAGGAGATAAGAAGAAAAGAGAAAGGGTAGAATATACTGAACTGAACAAAACTGCCAAAAAAGAAAAGGAGAGCGAGAGCAAGACACAAATGAAAAGAATGGTCGAAGAAATATTAGTGAAAGGCAGTGGACCAAAGGAGATATATATAAGTGTGGATTCAAAAGAAAAATCACAAAAATAAGAAGTCATCAGAAAGAACAGAAGTGTTGAAAATTTGTTCCAACTTCTTCAAGAATTTGTACAGGTCAACAGTCACTGACCAGACAAACACAGTAAAAACAAGTCCAGACACAGAGCAAGTACCACCAATAACAAAGCATGAAGTGGAAAGAGCAATGAAACAAATGAAGAAGAGAAAAGCACCAGGGATAGATGGAATAATGAGTGACATACTAATACTAGATGGCAAGGAAGTACCGAGTTATTTAACCAGAATATATAATGAAATACTACTGTCTAGAAAAGCACCAGGGATAGATGGGATAACGAGTGACGTACTAATACTAGGTGACAAGGAAGTACTGAGTTATTTAACCAAAATATATAATGAAATACTACTATCAAGAAGAGTACCACCCAGTTGGAAAGAAGCAAAGATCTTTGTTTTTTTAAGAAGGTCTATCACAAAGATATAAAGAATTATAAATCTATCAGTCTATTGTCCCATATGTGTAAAATATTTACAGAAATTCTTCAAGCCAGAATAGAAAATATATCAGATGAGAATCAACCAAGAGAACAAGCCAGCTTTAGAAAAGGGTTCTCTACTGTTCACCACCTGCATACATTAAATCAGATTATTGAAAAATCAAATGAATTCAATCTACCACTTTGGATCGGATACATTGACTACGAAAAGTCATTTGACTCAGTCGAGCACTATGCCATCTTTGAAGCTCTGCGAAAAGGTGGAATAAACAAACATATATAAGCATTCTTGAAGACATTTACACTGATGCAACAGCAAGAATCCACCTGGACAATCATGTATCACATGATTTCTTGATTGGTAGAGGCATAAGACAAGGAGACCTTATATCACCTAAGCTATTTACATCAACATTACAGGAAGTTTATTTACAATCAAAGGTAGAGGAACATGGCATCAATATAGAGGAAAAGAACTAACAAACCTTAGGTTTTCAGGTGATGTGGCTTTATTTATGGAGAACATACAACAGATAGAACACCATTTCCTCATGCTGAATGAAGAAAGTGCAACGATCAGCGTTAAAATACATAAGGGGAAAACAAAGTATATGACAAACTTAGATGACAACTGTGAAATCAAATTAGAATATGAAACTATTGAGAGAGTGAACAATTACTAACACCTCGGACAAACAATCTACATGAAAAATACAACAAAAGAAGAAATAATTATGAGAATAAGAACTGGCTGGAGTTGCTTTGGGAAGTACCGAGAGATCTTTCAAGATGAAAAACTACCAATAACCCTTAAAAGAAGAGTATTCAACCAATGTGTTTTACCAACCTTGACGTATGGATGTCAAACTTGGACACTCACTGAACAGCTTAACTCAAGATTGCAGACAATACAAAGAGCAATGGAAAGAAAGATGCTAAAGATCAAGCTCAAGGATAAAATTCTGTGCTCAGAGATCAGAAGAAATACTGGGGTAATAGACATCTTCATGTGTATTGCAGAATCAAAATGGAAATGGCTGGACACATCGCTTGATTAAAAGACAACAGATGGATGAAAAGAATCACAGAATGGTAGCCCCGTAGAGGGAAGAGATCAAGAGGTAGACCACACAAAAGATGGCATGATGACATCATAGAGAAAGAGGGCATCACATGGCTGAGGAAAGCAGCAGATAGACAGAGTTGGACACCTTTGGAGGAGGGCTATGCCTTTCAGTGGGTGGACACAGCCTAGAATGAATGAATGATGAATCCAATTCACACCTAAACATTTGTTGTCCAAGCAATGTTTTGTTATATAAATCATCTGAACTACTACTTCAGTATCTATTGTATACCAGTCATCTGGATATAGCAGTATGGTTGATATATTATTATACACTCTTTTATAATGACACTCAGTAGTTCTTATTACTAATTAATACATTATAGGGACCACATGAAAAGAACTTTTAACATTTCATCAAAGTTTGGGGTATTTGGAAATGTTATGTTAAATAAATCTGTCAGCTATTGTTCACTTGCCCTTTGAGCAACCATTAACTAAAGCATATAAATATTTAGATTACATTAATGGTTGTGTATTGTGAAAAAATTGGGATCTTGTATGCTGATAAACTCTCTCTCTCTCACTCTCTCCTTCTAGGCTGGTATCATGACTACTCTTAATGCCCGTGTATCAATACTAGCAGCTGCTAATCCTGCCTATGGACGATACAACCCCAAAAAATCAGTGGAACAAAACATCCAGCTTCCTGCGGCTCTGTTGTCCAGATTTGATCTGTTATGGTTAATCCAAGATAAACCAGACAGGGAAAATGATTTGAGGTGTGTATCATGATTTTCATGTTAAGATTAAAAATACTTTTCTTCATCTCTAAAATCTCCTAAAGACTTATCTTGTAACCACCAAAAAAATAAAATATAAATAAATCTAAATTGCCCTTTTTTTGCTTTCTAGAATGACTTCAAATTGTAACATGAAACAACATTTGTCTATCCTAAGTATCTTTAAACTCGTGACCTCTATTAAACCTCTATTTATACTTAAATTTTATTGTTTTATTGCTTTTTGAACCATGTCTAACTACTATTCACGCCATTATAAGTTTTAAATCACTTGGAGTTCACGTTACATCATCGAATTACATTACCCACGAGCTGCGTGTGTATGTGCCTCATGAAACATTTTTACTATATTATTATGATTATTTATTTTACCAAATCTAACCTTAACTAACCTAAAGAGATCCCTATTTTTACATTTTAGTTACTTTTATAATAATAAGTAAAGTACTTACCCGGGTCTTTTTTTTCTGCTGTTGATGACAGTTAACCCCACTTTTTTTATACTAATGGTAGTAACGCACTAAATAATGCACCAAAGAACATAGAAGAATAATAACATGCAAAAAAACAGATAATTTTCCCCAACTATCAAAATTTTTCTAGATTTCCAACTGTGACAAGAGCCTGTGGGAACGAAGCTTGTACTAACAAAGAAATTGACAATTCTCCTTTCAGAAGTGCATGTAATATAATACATCATTTGATAGATGAAAACCTTGCCTTTCTATTGGTTATACATAATATACAATTAAATGTCAGAGAGAACTCTTCACAAATCTTGAAAGAGTGGATGTGACAAGAGGGCTCTGATTTTCTATTTGATGGCTCTGTAAC